CCAAAGCCCATTAACATTTTAGTGGGGAAAAAATTTCTTAGTCAATCTATCAACCCAGTAGAATTTTTTTTTATTTTTATATTAACGTCTCCTGGCTCTTCCCCTGCTTATCAAGTAATCATATATGTGGAGACATATCAATCTTCATAGAACTTTAAGAACTAAATGGCCATATTACATTTGGAGATGATTCCAATGTACAATTCATGTAAAAGGTAAAATTCTTGTCCAAACGAAGAATGGAGAACAACAAATTATTTTCAATATTTATTATTTTTCTTTTATGAAAAATATTTTGAGTTCGAGCCACCTTTTGAGTAAACAGTATGACATAATAATAATAAAAAAAAAAATGGGGATTGCAATAGAAACTTTTTTGCTAGAGTTTCAATGACGAAGACTAGCTAAATATTCAAAGTGGAGAAGTGAGGTGTTTGAAGATGTGTCAAATATTCAACATAGTTATGGCATTTGAGGCTTGACCAACTAAATTTTGACAGATAGAACCTCTTGCGAAGAGAATATGATGAATGGGCTATCTCATTCTCATCATCCAAATTAACTTTGTGAAGGATATCTCAATGAAAAATAATTCCGAAAGGATTTTCCAAAAGAAGCAAGTTTTCGAGAATCAAGCTACTAGAGTTATTGCATATGGATCTTTGTGGACTGATCAAGATTGCGCCATTTGGTAAAAGTAATTACTTTATGTTATTTATTGATGACTTTTCTCCCAAAACATGGATATATTTTCTTAAAGAAAACTTAGATGCTTTTGAGGCTTTCAAAAATTTCAAGGAGATAATGAAAAATCTAAGTGGTCACAAGATCAAAGCCCTACTCTCAGATCATGATAGTGAATATATTGATGACACATTCAAGAATTTTTGAGAAGATCATTGCATTTATTATCCTTCGAATGTTCCTATGTCTCAACAAAATGTATATATATATATATATATATATATATATTTTTTTTTTTTTTATTTTTTTTTTCCTTTTGACAATAATGAAAATGAAGTTGATAAGATTCCGACTCAATCATCAATACCACCACCAAGTCATGGTCACCTTTATATTCATCATCCACAAGTGAAATGCCACATCATTTCAGCAATCTTCGAGAGATTTATGATGATACCAATGAGTTATCTCAACATCCTGTGTTCTGCCTTTTGTTTGATCATGTGATTATTGATATTGATGACACCATTCGAGATGAAAAATAAAAGAGCCATGGACGAAGAGATTAAAGTTTTGAGAAGAATGATACCGAGAAATTGGCCACACTTCCTAATGGCTAGAAGCCCATTGGAGTCAAATATTTTTTTGGGAAAAGTAATGTAAAAGATGAAATCCAATGCTTCAAAGCAAGGTTTGCAGCTAAAGGCTACATTCAAAAGCTTGGTGACGATATGATGAAGTACTTGCGCCCTTAGTTCATTAAGAAAGAATGACTTATTGTTTCCATAAAATCACAATCTGGTTGGAAGATCACCAAAATGGATGTTAAATCGACTCTTTTTTAATGATTTCTTCAATAAGATGTATAAATACTATAACCTCCTCAGGTATGTTGTCAAACAGTATGAAGTTTTGAAACTGAAGAGATCCTTCTATGGTTTAAATCAAGCTCCAAGAGCGTGGAAGAAACTCGATAAATTTCTTCAAGTTATTGGATTTATCAAATGTCTTTATAAGCATGATCTCTATCAGAAAGGTGAATACTAGCAGCTATATCTTAATTGTTTACTTGTACACGAATGATTATATTTATTTATTTATTATTATTATTATATTTATTTTATTTTATTTTTTATTTTTATTTTTATTATTATTATTTTTTTGGCAACAATCTAAGATTATTTGATAATTCAAGAGAATTATGGAGAAAGAAGTCAAGATTAGAGAAATCGGGCTAAAAATTTATTATCTTGGTGTCGAAGAGAAAAATAAAATAAAATATTTATTTTTCAAGGACTAAGAAAAATTAAGAAAGTTTCAAGATGTCTGATTGCAAGCCAATTTGCACCATTGTTGATTGTGAGATAAAATTATTGAAATTTGATGAAGCAGAGAGTTTATTAGTCTCTTCATAAGACTATTGTTGAAAATTTGAGGTAAAGTACGAGGCTTGATATTTTATTCGGATTTGGTCTGGTTAGTCGATATATGAAGTCTCCCACAACTACACATTTGAAGGCTGTAAAATAAATTTTGTAATACATCAAAGGTGCTATTCACTATGGTCTATTTCATTCATATACAGATGATTTCAAGCTTGTTTGTTATAGAGACAGTGATTGGATCATAGATAATGACGATCAAAAAAGTAAGAATGATAATGTCTTCTTTTAGGAGACAGAGATTTTACATGATCACTGAAGAAACAATCGATTGTTGTGCTTTCAAGTTATGAAGCGGAGTATATTATTGTTGCATATTGTGTTAGTCAAGAATTTGGTTGAGAAATTTGTTAAAGTAATTATCAATAAAGTGATTTTATCAATATTTTGTTAAAGCAAGCAGGCATTGTCGTTGGCCAAGAATCCAATTTTTCATAATTGAAGTAAGCACGTCGATATGAAGTATCATTTTGTTTGAGATTGTAACAATATTTGGAATTGAAGGTTGTAAAGTCCCAAGACTAAGTCGTGCACATTTTAACCAAGCCATTGAAGATTAATGCATTTTCGAAGTTTTGGAGTTTCTTAGAGTTATAATAAATGACAATTATGAGGTGTTGAACATAGAAATTATTCAAACATATTTATAAACATAATTTTAATCTCAAAACTAGTTCTAACTTTTCAAAAGTCCTGTGAAATGGACATTTAACTTGGGATAATATCCTTTATGTAGTTTATTGAACTTCAAATATTTTTTTCCCTTTTTAATTTAGCAAAATGACGGTATTTTTCCTTAAAATGAGTACTATTTCTTTTTTATTTTAAACAAATATTATTATTAAAAGGTCCCTCAAAATGTTTTTCCCTTAAGGCCCCAAATTGATTGAGCCCTATGACTGCAGGGGGCATCAGCGCAACAGTGAGGGTATATATATATATATATATATATATATATATATATATATATATATATTATATATATATGAAAATAATCTCCCAAGCACCGATAACATGACACATCATTTAATTGGTGAATAAGTTAACGGTAGATCCCATGTATTTAATGATTCACCAATTAAATGATGTGTCATGTCATCGGTGCTTAAAATAAGCTAAGTACCAGTGTTTAGGAGATCATTTTCGTATATATATACTTACTTCAAAACATGTTCTTATGTACTTCAAGGTTGTAAATTAATTAATAACCTAAATCTTGCTGGCTAGATTCTGTATGTTTAAGGAAGAAACTTAAACATTTTTTTTTTGTTAAAAAAACAGTTCAACCTTACCATATATGTATTGTGCTTAACTTTGACATCGGAAAATTATTTTATCGCGATGCATGTGAACGCTTAGATCAATCTTTCAATCAACAATAAGATTGAAAAAATGCATTCACGGCCTTCTTATAGATCTTCTAATTTGGGATGCCAATGTACACTGCTTTCATGGATTCACTTTCCTTGTCATGTCCCAACCTTTACTCATGGTTCAATGCTGCCACCAAAATGTTCAATATTTCTTTGGTTAAATTTGTGTGTGCGTGTATATATATATAGATAGGGAGGGAGGGAGGGAGAGAGAGAGAGAGAGAGAGAGAGAGAAGGGAAATTGTTGACACATAAAAATTCAGCCCAAATCGAACAGCCCAGAGAGTAAAGCCCAATTGGAGGATCCCCAAATCAGATAGCCCAAAGAACGAAATCCAATTGAACGAATCAAGGTGAAGGCCCAAATAAGGGGCCCAATAGTGCGGTAACGCCATCGCCCAAGTTTGCAGGTCGCTCAGAGTCTGAACGAATAGAGTGACATACGGTCGCCCAGAGTCTAGCCCAAATCTTCAAGTCGCCCAAGGTATCAACAAACATAACGCATTATGATTATCAAGAAATGCAGTTATTGAGGCAGTTGCTAAAGTAACCTTACCACGTTCCACGACTCAAGGTGTTCAATCGAAAGCGGTTGAACGATGCAAGATAATGGCAGCAGTTAAAAGGACAGTTTCATGACAAAATGGCCACTACAAAGAAAGTGGGTAGTTATAGGGCGATCAAGCAGTTTTTTAGAGCAGTTAATCACAAAGGAATCGCCTATGAAGTATAAAAGGGAGAAATAACATAGAAGCAAAGGACCGAATCCAAAACTCTCGAACAGAGAATATGTAATTTTCATTTCTTTAGCTTTTAGACTTAAACACTTTCCTTTCTGTAACTCGTGTGCTTGCGCCCCTTGGAGGCACGTTGTTTTTCGTTTCCAATTGTAAAGTTCATCGCCAATAAAAGAACACCCTTTTTTGGGACTTTGTCTCAAGAGGTTTCGTCCCTTACACAATCGTCTGATCCTCTTTAATTGTTAGCGAGTTAACCCGCGCGAAACAGAAATACTATTGGCAGTCGGTGTAGGGATCGATAGTGAAGCCAAGAGAAACTCCACACAAGCCAGGCAAAGCGGCAATTGCTGGGGCATTTAGGTTGTTAGTTGTGATAAGTTCCATCAAACACCAGCACACCGCACGACGGTTGTAGCCTGGATCCGCAAGATTGCTCAGGCTTGTCATGGCAACACAGCACGGGGATCCAAGAAACGAGTCTAGCGAACCGCTGGCGATGAAGCTGGAACAGGAAGAGACGAGGGCAGTTACAGTGGAGCAATCTGCGGCCGTGGCGGATAGAAATGCATACTGTGAAAACAAAATCACGATTCCAATTCCACGAACTGTGGTGTTAGTATTGCTTTTCATTTTGGGTTGGATTTAGGGTTCTTAGCGTTGTTTTATTAGGTCCTAACTCGGTTGTTTTGTCGAATGGAAGAGGAGAATTTCTTATACAGTGGTGACTGGTGTGGGTTGAGTTTGGTGTAAAATGTCGGGTATGTTTCAGTTTCATCTATATTGCATGAATATGTAGCACACTTGTGGGATAGCCCGATTTGGTAGGCCTAAGCCATGAACCATGCGCTAGCTTTGGAGAAAGTGCCAATGGAGAGTGTAATGGGTAGTGATAGCAAAAAAATTTATGAGTGTAAGGTATCGTTGCCAAATAATAAAGTACTGAACAAGATATAATTGTCACGACGACTAAATACTTAGTCTAGTTTCTGTTAACATCAATTTTAAACAAACAGTAGGATTAGTAGTTAGAAATTTTATATTAACAATCTAATATTTAAACTAAACTAACTAATCGTACTACTTAATATGAAAGTATTTATGAGATTTATTTAATTGATAAATACAGGACTTCAAATCCCCCTACTTTCATTCCTTTTAATATTAATCCATGATTTTGACACAATATTTGAATATGTAGATCAATACTCCTAATTCATTTAATAATCTTTCTCGAGTAACACTATACATATCCTTATAAGTGACCTTTCAATATGTCCATGAAAGATGAAACATATAAAGATGTATTAATATCACAAGAACAACATAAGAATCATGCAGATCATAATGGTATTTGCTATCTATCTCCTATTGACTGTACAATAATTGTTTTTCTTATATTGAATGTCATTAGAATCACAAAATAATTCAATTAGTAGCTAATTACTTTAAAAACATTTAAGTACCTGACAATCTTGAAACCAATTACTTGTTTAATGAAAAAAAATAAATATGAAATTAAATATCAAAACTTAAGAAATGAAGTTTAACCATATCCTTGCACTATGCCATTAGCCAAGAATCAAATTAATTACAAAAACACAAAATAGTTGATACAACATTACCTGGATTTGAATAATTGAAAAGAACATGAAAAGAAATCTTGAAGTTCTTGAGTCTCTTTAAAGGCTTCTTGATCAACATCATTTGATTCTTCTTTCTTCTTCTCCTTCTTCTTCTTCTTCTTCTTCTTCTTCTGTCCAAGAAATAAATGTATGAAAGTAAGGGCATTTTGTAATGAGCTTCTATAAAAGCTCCCTCTTTTGCTCTCTTCTCCACAAGAATTGGACCAACCACATTGGACCAACCATGTGGCCAACGAATAGCTACTCCATGTAATCCTCCCTACGGACAACAACGCACAGTCAGAAACACACGATCGGAACCAGTGGTGATGGTGGCGATCGCATACACTCTGACAGTCAAGTTAGTGTTGGATGATCTAAACAGTGCTCAAGTTATGCAAAAGAATGGGGAGGAGAATATACATTACTTAGTATCGAGAGCTAAGTTATAAGAGTTTCATTACCTTTGTCTCTTACCAAACATTGGCTATTTATAGCGGTAGAGCACCGCTGGATGTGGGACATGTGTATATATGCATCTGACGATGTGAGGCATCCACTCATAGGCGTCAATCAGCTGCGTCTAGAGTGGACGGACAATTAGTTCTTATGAGTTGAGTTGACATAAAGTTGATAGGTCACATCAACTAGACCTATGGAGACGTCACATCACTTGATCTTTGGAGGCAGAGGGAATCCTGATAGATATCTTTTTGACAGTGGCAGCGGAGGGATCTATTAAGGGAGTGTCTCGGAGTGCTCAACGCTTCGGAGTTGAGGGACACTTCGGTTGCTTTAGGGGATCTACTCTTCACCTTGCAGCGCGCCATGTTGAGGTTGTCAGAAGTGGACATCACTTCGGAACCACTTCGGGTGAACATGTGGAGCTTTGGGGAGTGGCGTGACTATTTGTTCCGAAGTGGTCATGTTGAGGTCGTCAGAAGTGGGCATCACTTTTCGAAGTGGTTTAGCTGGGGGTGTAACAGTGATCCTCCTAAGTTCAGGCATGAATATTCATATCATTGGTAGACTTGCTTTCCCGATAGTGTATGCCGGCCTTGGTTATGTATTGTGGATTCTGATAAAGTGCTGATGTGATAGGATTCAGTAAGTAGACGTGTCGAATAACTGTTGGCTGAGGCGAAGTAATGATGATGTGATGTGGGTAGGGCGTTCTCTTGATTGCGCCAAAGCTTGTAAAGTAGGATGAAGAGCTCATCTGCTACCAGGGAGTGGACCCAGAGTGGACGACGCGTTGGGAGATGGTTAGAGCCTTGTAAAGCTGAGGGGTCGTGCGACCGAGACGGTGACCCATAGGGGACTCCGCGTCAGTGGCGCTGAAGCTTTTCGAAGCTAGGTACAGAGCACATTTGCCACCAGTGTGCTAACCCACAGGGATGACGCGTTGGGAGATGGCTAATGCCTTATAAAGCTAAGGGGTCGTGCGACCGAGACGGTGACCCACAGGGGACTTCACGTCAGTGGCGCCAAAGCTTTTCGTAGCTGGTTGCAGAGCACATCTGCCACCGGCGCGCTGACCCACAGGGGACAACGCGTTGGGAGATGACTAACGTCTTGTAAAGCTAAGGAAACGTGCAACCGAGGCGGTGACCCACAGGGGACTCTGCGTTAGTTGCACCGAAGCTTGTAAAGCTGAGGAGTGCATTTATTTGAGGAGAATTGGGATAGATTATTTCCGATCTGAAGTGTCGTTATGACGCTAATCGATGTGACAGCTGTCACGTATTTTCAAGGCGACAGTTGGATGTGATGTCTGTCCCCAGAAAAAGGACTGCTGTGGCTACTTATTGTTAACGACTGCTGTTTGTTCGAGGCGATGCATTTTACGCGTGCGTGAGGGGCACAGTCAATTCTTGGATGTTGATCAAATCTGAAGTTTTATTTCAATGATCCAGATTTATGATTAGATCAACAATCCAGATTGACATCCGTTTGAATTCAAAGGCGGGGATCATTTGAGGTCTCCTATAAAAGGAGAACTTATTGCCATTTCAACATTTTACCTTTGCGAACTTAGAATTCCCTTTATTTTCCCAATTTTTGGCGATTTTCGACGAGTTTCAAGCGTTTCTTGACGACATTTCCGTTTTTCGGCATTAGGACATCCATTCTGGTCGAGTCCCATATATATTTCTAAGTTTTCATAACTTTTTCTGAAAAAATATGGCCTGTGAGGGTAGGGGACGTTCTGGAGGGGACCTTGAGTTTGTTAGGATAGATGAGCCCATTTTGGCCACTTCGACTGAAATTTCTGAGGCGATTATAGAGGGAGAACATTTGGAGACGGCCAGATAGCCCGGTAGATACTTCGATTCATTAGGAGCGTGCGACTATCCTTCCAAATTGATGTCGACCAACCTGGCTAGACTTAGGACTGAGTATTGGATTCTGGATAGTGTAGGTCTTATATTACCGAGGCCACATGAGCGAGCTTGCTACCCCAGGCCAGGGTGTTTGGCGGTTAGTGAAGCCATACTTAGGGCGGGGCTCAGACTACCAATGCACCCCTTCTTTAGGTACGTGTTGAGGTTTTATGGCTTAGCCCTTACCCAGTTAAATAAATGGTGGATCCATGGATGTTGTGGAAAGAGGCGTCTTATGGGTAAGAGATGCCCTTCTCCATCTTCCAGATCTTGTTTATACCTAAGGTAGTAGCTGGGAGGACAAAACGAAGGGGTAGTATTACTTGACCTCTTGGGGGACCCATACTCCATTCGTTCTCGACTTGCCGAGCTCCGTAAAAGATTGGAAGAGTTCGTGGTGCTAGGCTTCAGGGAGGTGGGATATGATGGAGGGGGACCCCCTGGCATCCCTAACAACACCAACAAAATACTCAACTGTTAGTGAGTGCCGAAACTTCAGATTTACTTGTATACCTACCACTTCGAGTTTTGAATTTAACTGTGTATTTCATGCAGGTACACCTCCTTGGTGTGAGTTGTCTATAGAAGACTTCAGCACCATCTGCATCGTCTATCAGCTTTCCCCGAAGAGGAGGTCTTACCACTAGCTAATAAAGAAGAATCTCCATTTCATGGAACACAATTTGATGGCCTCCTAGGGTGAGTGTAGAGGTCACATCCTCACAGTTTATCGTTGAAGCGTTCATACTTTGCTGATTTTATTCTTTGTTGCGGATAACTTTAACAAGAAGAGGCCCCTGAAGCCCAACTTCAAGACCATCCAAAAAATGATGGCTGAAGCTTAGTCACTGAAGACAACCTCCTCTGCGTATAAGAAGCAGACGGAGGATCTGGTCGCGGCGAACAAGAAGCTTCAGCTTTCCATGGCCGAAGAGGAAGAAGAAGAGGCCGAAGCACCCCCGTTAAAGAGGGCAAACAATTCGAGGGCCCCATTGTGGCGAGGACTGCCACGCATCAGACCTCGATCCCTACCGGGGTGGTGATCAAGGAAAAGACAGCTGCTCTGCAAGAGGATCGACCGGCTATCACTACTTTGGGCCCATTCCTGCAGCACCAGTGGCCCAGCAACCTGAACAATAGAGGAGGAAGGGGGCATACCTTGAAAAGGAAGCGGATTTCTTAGGGCGTAATGAGGAGGAGCTGGTGGGGGAGGTACTGGAGGTTTTTCCTCCTGAGACAGCGATCGTGGCGGTAGCCCACAACAAATATCGGACTGAAGATTGGAGAGACCACACTGCTTCCTGTATTGAGGAGGACTTAGCTTCTACCAGTACCGCGTGCCTCGCTAGAGCCTTGAGCACAAGTATCCAACTTGAGGCCATGGTGAAGGACCTAAGAGCCAAAAATGTTGATCTGTCCAAGCGATTGGAAGTGAGCTTACAATATGGGGAGACAGTGCAAGAGGCCAGGGCCAAGACTGCTGAGGCGGAGAACCAGTTGGGGAGGGCTAACTCTGATGTTGAGAGGTTGAGGAAAGAGCTCCATGAGATGGAGAGCCAGGTGCTGCTCTGACAAGGCGACTTGATCACGCTAGTGAGCATCATCGTTTGGCTATGGAGGCTCTGGAGGCCTCGAACAAAGAGAAGGCTGAGCTGAGGTAGAGGGTAGAGGCCCAAGTGGAGGAGATTGAGTCGCTAAAGGCTGAGACGAAGGTGGTCGGTGAATCTGCGATGCAGCATTTCATTGATCATTTCGATAAGCGTCATTTATATAACACCTTCGCCAACTACTAGGCCTCCTGGGATGCCCAGGCCATGCTGGAGCGGCTGAAGGAGGTTCATCCAATACTGGACATCTTGAGGTGGAGTTCGGTGGACCTACCGAGGTCGCCCAGACGTGGCATCTGTAGAGGAAGTTGCGGAGCCTTCCCAGGAGGTGGAAGTGGGGAATAAGGCCATAGTGCCAATAGACTAGGACTGCTTTGTAACGGCTTCGGCCCAACTTGTAATATTTTGGATATTAATGAAATGTAAATTTTTTTTCAAGTATTTTTGCTTCTTACTTTTATGCTTAACTGTGTATCTTGATGAGTTACGGACTTAAGTAAATCTTAAACATCGCTTACCAACTAGTCGATGACAGAACTGATTCACGTAAAATATTGGAGAACTGAGGCACCAATTGATTAACCCATATAACATAATGGAGAACTGAGATATTATTACTTACATTATCTTTTTAACAAGGCAATTCAACACTTAGTAAGATAGGAATGTTTCAATACCGGACAAAATGTAGATTGGATCAGGACACATTATTGATAGTACTTCCTCGAGTATTCAATGTTCCACTGATGAGGCAGTACCTTCCCCGCCATGTCTTCTATTTCATGAGTGCCGGGTTGGGACTCTTTGCAGATACGATAAGGACCTTCCCAGTTCGGTCCAAGCACTCCGGACCCAATTAGCTTTGATGATTGGAAGACCCTTCTGAGAACGAAATCCCCCAGACAAAGAGTTTGGTTTCTGAGCTTAGAGTTGTAATAAGGGGTCATCTTTCTTTGATACTTTGCCAATTTTATTTGAGAGAAATCCTTCATTTCCTTAAGGAGGTGAAGTTCATGCACTCGAGCTTCATCATTGGAGATCTCATTGAAATGTATCCGACGATGAGAGGGGACACCCACCTCAACAAGACTCATGGCTTCGGATCCATAGGCCATGGAGAAGGGTATCTCACCTGTTGCAGTTCGGCTGGTTGTTCGAATGGCCGAGAGGACATGGGAAAGTTCATCGACCCATGCCTCTTTCAAGGTATCAAGCTTCCTTTTCAGGGTATGCGTGATAGTCTTATTTACTATCTCGACCTGCCTGTTTGCTTGGGAGTGATGGGATGTTGAGAAGTCATTACTTATGCAGAGTATGTCACATAAGTCTCGTATCTTTTTGTTGTCGAATTGCCTTTCGTTGTCAGACACTAAAGAGTGGGGATTACTGAACCTGCAAATGATATTTTTCCGGATGAACTTTGTGATGTTCGCTTTAGTGATTTTTACTAGAGGTTCAGCTTCAACCCACTTGGTGAAGTAGTCAATAGCAACAATGACAAAAGTGGCGTTTCCTCTTCCTTTTGGTGGTGAACCGATAAAGTCTATGCTTCACTTGGCGAACGGCCACGGGCTGATGACCACGGAGAGGCTTTGAGAAGGCTGCCCTTGAATATTTGAGAAGCGCTAGCACCTATACATCTTCGAACAAACTGGCAAGAGTCCATTTTTAAGGTTGGCCAAAAGTAGCTTTGTTGAAGTACTTTGTATGCCAGAGTCATTCCTCCGTAGTGATTACCACAGACTCCCTCATGGATATCTCTGAGTATATACATGGCTTCTTCTCCTCCCATGCATTGAAGAGTGGCGAGGCGAAGCCCCTTTTGTATAACACGTCATCTTGGAGAACAAAGTGTGCAGCTCTCCTCCTCAATCTTTTCACCTCGTTTTTCGAGGTTGGCAGTGATTGATCTTTGAGGTAGGCCACGATGGGTTGCATCCAAAGTGGGGTGCCTTCAATCCATAGTACCTCTTCGCCTCCAGAGATAGAGGGCTTCAGTAGATGCTCAATTGGAACAATTTTTAGCAGCTCCGAATACCTACTGCTAGCCAATTTGGACAGGGCATCGACATGTGAATTTTCGAGGCGTGGGACTTGAACCAGTTCGAATTTCTTGAAGTGAGGGATTAGGTTCATAACCAATTTCATAGACGCAACCATGCCACTGTCTTTGGCTACAAACTTTCCATTGACCTGACTTACCACAAGCTAGGAGTCGTTACTTGCTAGGAGCCTTTTCACTTGCATCTCTTTTCGTAGTCTAAGGCCTGCTAGGAGGGCCTCATATTCCACAGCATTTTTCGAGGATTTGAAGTCGAACCTGACTGCGTAGTTTAACATATAGCCCTTTAGGCTTTCCAAAATAACTCCTATTTCGGAGCCAGTCTCTCCTGATGATCCATCCACAAATAGGTTCCATGTTGGGGGCTCGGCTGGTTCATTGTCACCTCCATTTTTGGGACTTTGGCAAACTCAGTCACAAAATCTACGAGGGCTTGGTCCTTGATGGCATTTCCAGTTCGGTACAGTAGGTCTAACAGGCTGAGCTCGATTGCCCATTTTAGCAAACGGCCCGAAGCGCATGTTCTCTGCAACACTTGCTTCAGGGAAAAGTTGGTGAGAACTTCAATTGAATGGGCCTGAAAGTATGGTCTCAACTTCCTTGATGTTTGTGACAATGGCGAGTGCAAGCTTTTCCATATCTGGGTAGCGCGTCTTCGCTGAGAGTAGTGCCTTGCTAATATAGTACACTGGCAATTGATACGTGTTTTCTTCTCTAACAAGGACTGCTCTGATAGCCTCGTCTGAGACCACTAAGTACAGCAGTAGTGGTTCTCGTAGCTTAGGTTTGGATAGCAGGGGTGTCTTTTCTAAGTGCTTCTTCATCGCTCGGAAGGCTTCCTCGCATTCATCTGTCCATTAAAACTTCTTTCCTTGCAAGATTTTGAAGAAGGGCAGGCTCTTGTCAGTAGCCTGGAGATAAAGCGGCTGAGGGCGGCTATCCGACCATTGAGGCTTTGGACCTCCCTTGGTTTCTGAGGCGACCTCATTTCCAATAAGGCCCTTATCTTTTTTGGATTTGCCTCGATTCCTCTTTGGTTCACAATATACCCTAAAAATTGACCTGAAGCTACTCCAGAGGTGTACTTCAGAAGGTTCAACTTCATTTTATACTTTCTAAGAATCTAAAATGCCTCGTCGAGGTGACTCACATGTTCTTTCGCCTGGAGGCTTTTAATTAGCATGTCGTCCACGTAGACCTCCATGCTTTTGTCAATGAGCTCAGTAAGCATCATATTGACCAGCATTTGGTAGGTAGCTCTGGTATTTTTCAATTTGAAGGGCATCATCTTATAGTAATACAATCCTCTATCTGTGATGAACGATGTGGATTCCTCATCAGGTCCGAACATGGGTATCTGGTTGTACCCTGAGTATGCATCCATGAAGCTTAAGAGTTCATGTCCAACAGTGGAGTCCACCAGTTGGTCTATCCTTGGAAGAGGGAAGCTGTCCTTGGGACATGCCTTGTTCAAATTTGTAAAGTCTACACATACCCTCAATTACCTGCTAGGTTTCTTTGTGAGGACCGGGTTGGATATCCACTTCGGATAGATAGCTTCTCTGATGAAGCCACTGTAGTTGAGTTTGTCGACTTCTTCTTTGAGCACCTTATATCGCTCTGAATTTAGGGCTCGCCTTTTCTGCCGATGTGGGACGTAAGAAGAGTTGATGTTAAGGGGTGACAACTGATCCTTGGGTCTATTCCCATCATATCTTCGTGCTTCCAGGCGAAGACATCCAGGTTTCTTTTCAGGAAGTTCATCACTTCTTCTTTCACTTCGGGGGGTAGTGCTTTCCCAATTCGCAAGACCTGAGTGGGGTCTTCAAGGTTGATGGAAAAAGTTTACGGTTCTTCTATCAGGGTCGTATTTGGTTTAGACTCGATAATTCGAGGGTCCAACTCATCAAGAGGGTGCCCTTCTTCAGGGGCCTCTACCATATCAACGTCTTCCTCTTGTTTGGAGGTATGCCCTTGTTCAGAGACGTCAAGCATCTCTATGTCCATGTCGGCTTCGTTGTCGGCCTCTGTTATAATGACATTAACAGTGCGGGGCTCGAATTTTCGTAGAAAGTTGAGATAACATACCCTTGTGCCCATTTGGTCGCCTCGAACTGTGGCAATCCCATGTTCAGTTGGGAACTTCATACACAAGTAATGGATGGATGTAACTACCCAAAAATCTTTTAAGGCAGGTCGGCCCAATACTCTATAGTAAGCTAATTTGTGGTCCACGACCAGGAACTTCATGAAGTGGTGGGCCACTAGGGGGGCTGACCACATCTCGACAGGTAGAGTAATTCGCCCTCGTGGGACCATGTTGTCACCAGTAAATCAAAACAACGAGTCGGTCATGGGGATCAACTCGTGTTGAATCTGCATTTTATCAAAGGTGGATCCGAATAGTATATTCACTGAGCTACCATTGTTGATGAGCATGCGTTTAAGCCCGTTTTGAGCCACTATGGCTCTTACCACTAACGCATCATAATGAAGGTGGTGAACTCCTTGTGCATCTTCTTGAGAGAAAGTAATAGGGGCCATCCTGTTGGCCTCTTGGGTCTGATTGATAATGTAAGTAATCATTGGTAGATTCTGTGCTTCCCTTGTGTAGTTTCGCTAGGCGTTCCTAGTATTGCCCCCGATGTGAGGTCCTCCAATGATTGTATCAATTTTCCTAATAACTTGGCCTCCAGATGGGGGCTGATCCCTATGCCTGGATTCTCTCCTCCGGGATGATTGGTCTCTATATCGCCTCTCTTTCCTATTTGGGAAGGTGGACCTATGGGTATATTCACCCCTTCTCGAAGAGCGTGGGTGATCGAGGAGCATCTCTACATTCCCTGGTGTCGTGTCCGTAAAGTTGGTGAAAGGTGCAAAACATTGCCCCTTCCAGGGGCCTGTTTGATTACTTATTCTTCTTCTTCCAATTGTTTGATCCCCCGGATGGTCTTGCCTCGGCAGGAGCATTTTCATATGCTAGCACTGGCACTGCATTTAGAGTGGTTGAGCTAATGTCTGTCCGGATGTGGGGGATACTGTGTGACCGACCTGGGTCAATTGCTGGGTGACGAGGTGTATGGCTGGTTCTTGACGCATCCACCTCTGAGGCGGGGAGAAGTCCTTGAGTCGGACGGTTCTGGTGGTCAATCATCTCTTCATTGACGATTTCCACCCTCATCATTTCAACCAGCTAGTCATAGGTGGTGGGATTCTTGTTGCGTACATCTTTTCAGAACAGAGTGTTCATGTTAAGGCCACCTTTCAAGGCTGAAAGGGCCTCCCTGCTAGTGACTTGCTCGCGGTACATGATTTCATCAGTGAATCTAGCGAGGTAGCTTTTCAGCGTCTCGCCAAAAGCTTGCCTCATGTCTTGCAGGCATTGCACTAGGGCCTCTCCTTCCCTTCATGAAAGGTATTCGTTCAGAAATGCCTTCTTCAAGTCTGGCCAGCTTCTTATGCTCAAAGGTGATAATCTGTTGTACTACACTTCTGCAGCTCCAGTGAGGGTTAGATGAAAGGCCCTACATTTCAGTGCCGACGAGGCTCTTTTGAGGCTCATCTACGTCATATACTTAGTCAGATGTTTTTGTGGGTCCCCCTTTCCTTTATACTTTAGGATTTTAGGGGGTGTAAAGTTTGCAGGCATCGGGAAGCTAGTGATTTTTTTGGAGAATGGGAGGTTGTCAACATCATCATCGATTTCATAGGAGCGGCATGACCCTTCAGAGCCTTCATCCTCTGATGCATGTTGGGGAGGTGGAGGTGTCTCTCCTCAAGTACCTCAATCCACTAGGTTCCTCCTCTCCTGCCTATTTCTAGGCAGAGGAGGTACTTGTTCTTTTTCCTGCTTTGTTGAACTGATCTTTGTATGGAGCGGACCCTATTGTTAGGGTTCTGCCCTATTCTGTCGAAAATACTGACAGACCTTTGGGGTTCGTATTCTGGTGGGAAGTTCTCTCCCAGTGGTGGTGCTGCTGGTTGGCTTCCTTGCGCATAGGATGTCACATCCACACCCACTTCTCCTTCAAGGGGGCGTGCTCGGTGTTGGCTTGAATGGCCTCGGCCATGAGGCGCAGGAATTTCTTGAGCTGGATATGATCTTTGAGGTATATGGAAACCTTGATGACCTCGAGCCTCCATGAAGAATTCACGCATCGCCATATTTGGAGTGGCAATGTCCCTCATTCCGGCAGCTATTTGAGCCATTCCTTCAGTGAGTGCTGCTATCCTCTTGTCTCAGTGACGCCGGTGATGGGGTCTCCGATGCGTGACATTAGTCCTGATTACCTCTTCTTCAGAAGCATCCATGTGCCCTTCAAAATTTGTATCTTCATTACTATATCTCATTTTGTTTGTCCTTTCAAGGGTGTTAAGAACCTTATAGGTTGACCTTGTTCTTTTTCAAAAACGTGCCCTTTTCAGAGTAAGTCGATGGTTTGTCGGTGGCTTTTCCAGTAGACAGTGTGGAACTTTTGGACGAAAAGTTTCCCACAGACTGCACCAATTTGTTGACCTCGATAATTGGACCCTCCATGTGGTCAACAAATAGCTACTCCACGTAATCCTCCCTGCGCACAACAACGCACGGTCAGAAGCACACGGTCGGAACCAGCGGTGATGGTGGCGGCCACATACACTCTGACGGTCAAGTCAGCGTTGGGTGATCAGAATAGTGCTCAAGTTATGCAAGAGAGTGAGGAGGAGAATATACATTACTTAGTATGGAGAGCTACGTCATAAGAGTTTCATTACCTTTGTCTCTTGCCAAACCTTGACTATTTATACAGGTAGAGCACCGCTAGATGTGGGACACGTGTATGCATCTGACAGTGTGAGGCGTCCGCTCATAGGCGTCAATCAGCCGCGTCTAGAGTAGGCGGGCAATTAGTTCTTCTGAGTTGAGTTGACATAAAGTTGATAAGTCACATCAACTAGACCGATGGAGACGTCACATCACTTGATCTTTGGAGGCAAAGAGAATCCTGATAGATATCTTTCTGATAGTGGTGGCAGAGGGATCTGTTAAGGGAGTGTCTCGGAGTGCTTAACGCTTCGGAGTTGAGGGACACTTCGATTGTTTCAATGGATCTACTCTTCACCTTGCAGCACGCCATGTTGAGGTCATTAGAAATGGGCATCACTTAGGAACCACTTCGGGTGAACATGTAGAGTTTTGGGGAGTGGCGTGACTGTTTGTTTCGAAGTGGTCATGTTGAGGTCGTCAAAAGTGGACATCACTTTTCAAAATGGTTTAGCTAGGAGCGTAACAAGAATTATTAATTTTCTAGTAAGAACCTAATTTCGCTTGTATAATATGTGAACAATGAATCCCACAAAGGCACAAATCTCTTCAATTGTTGGACTAAGATATATATTTAGAAAACAAGATTAAAGCCAAAATTCTTGTTCCAATTCATTTTTAAAAATAGTTTGAGAAGAGAAATGAAATAATTCCATTTTTCAATTTGATTCCTTTTCTCACCTAATTTTATTCCTTCACAATATTCATAACCAAGCCCTCTTCAACCCAAAATCATAAATAATCCCAATGTATGTTTCAAAAGTTTACAATTTAGTATCAAACTTTTCAAATGTAGAAATTAATTATCGAAACTTATGAATTTTTACTAGATGCTCCATTAATACTTTCAATTGATCAATTGCAATCCATTTGATCTTCAAGTACTTTAAATCAACTCCAATTATGCTCCAATTTTACGTGTTTCTCACATAAGCCGTCCAAGTGCATCCAAATATTTTGTCTCCAATTAATCATGTTTACACAAAATTAAGTAGATATTAGCTCAATTAATCATAAATAATCAAGTAAAAAAATCCTAAATAAGTGCATAATGTGCACTTATTAGATAGGGAGAAGACAAATGTTACACATTTTTTATTTAATTTTACTACGGTAAGTTAGTCACATGCATCTTAATATTTTGTCTCCGTGCTCCGGCTAATTTATATATAATTTATAAATTGTGTCTTAAGTTAAATATTAATTTCACAAGTTTTTAAACTTTATAAATAGCTTTTATTTTTCATTTTTTTTTTGGGTACTCTTAGACATTAATAATATAGTCTCCTATTAAGCATTAGTTTGGGTACAAGTTTATAATATAAATATTTTGTAAATTTAATCAAAGTCAAATATTAATTTCAATCACATATTTATAATTGTTCCTCATTATTATTCACATTTTGTGAAATCATTACTGTTCCTTTTACTATTCTTGCTGACCATTTATGAATTTGTCAAACAGAAGCTTTACAAGTGTTTGTCTATGCAATGCAAGAAATCTTCTACTGTAAATATGCTATATTCTCATGCAAAATAATCCTGCATTGCAATTATTGATAAACAAAATTAGATTTAAAATATATTTTTAACCAAATAACTAAACAGAAAAATCAATCGATGCGACTTAATTGACTATCTCTCCTTAAGACAATTTTACCTTCTCTAGTGTTAAAGGTTTTGAACAATTATCTCTCGATATAGAACGAATTTCGCTCTTACAGAAGCAGCATCTCAATCATGGACAAGAACTAGTGATGATAGCTTCTTCGTTTATCCAGGAACATAAAGCAGAATTTTTGCACAAATGAGAGATTTATTTGATAGAAAAACTAGGAGTAACTCAATTATAAATAATATTTTATTAAATGCCCTAATTATAACTTTTGGATGAGGCCATTCATCCAAAAGTCATTATCTTTCAAAAAGTAGTGCAGCTTTTCAAATAAATAGTAGTACTTTCGTGAGAAGGCATAAGATCTAAAGGAATCAAGCCAAAAGTCTTTTAACTTAAAAAGACGTAACATTTTAAGATTAAAAAGACAAGCATTCGTGGTTCTTTATCATGAACATCAATGATCGAATAAGGTTGTTGAGGTGATGTGCAAGTAACTCCTGTCATGTATATCGTCACCAGCTCAATCTCCAAGTGATCGATTTCCTTGACTTCAAACTACAATGTAAATGTAAAAATATTAATGCTAGTAAAATATTTAACTCTCGAGATATATGAATGAACAACAGTCTTGAAATTTACAAATGTACTGACGCCATGCAGGATAGGATTGTCGTGCAGGCTAGTTCAACAAATAATTCACAGGGAAAAACATGAGAGAAAACGCTCAAAACACAGAGAAATCCTCTGACGTTCAACTCAATTTTATTAAAATCCAGAATGGCGAAAAACAGCCTACAAGCCGGGCTATATAGCTAAAAAAACTTTATTATCGGAATTTTACCAAAAATAGTAAAATCTTAATAATCATACAAAAATAAACTACCTAAATAAAGAAGC